CGACAGCAGGCTCTATGCGCTTTACACTATATTATTACCCCAGCAGACCATAGAACACACCGAAACGTTCTCAGCTTCCCGTGAAGCATACAGATGAGAGATACAGATAGACAAAGGTGGATACTATAGCCCAAGAAGAAGACCCGGGGAGCTTTTGTTGGTTGCTTATACTTTGGCATTGGGTGAGAAAGGGTGATAATGAAAATGAGTTCGCATTGTCCATTTCAAACAATTGATACATTTGAGGGCAAACATTTGGTCTTCCATGGAGGGGCAAAATCTCATATACTCCCGGGTCAAATATGATTGTGCAAAATAATGGCAAATTAATCCCCCCCCCTACCCCCGCCAAGTGCAGATGGACATCCAACTGAACTGCGTGAGCTTGGGCTGTTAAACAGCGCTTACATCTTTCTCCCTGGCTGATCTTATCGGAGACGCTTAATTAGTAGAGGTCCCCCATCTTCAGTAACCTTGGGGTGTTCAATGTTGCCATAAACTCATACCACTGTATCAATGCTTGTGTCATCTTCACTTCAGTTCACAGTCCTGTCGAAGAATTCGAAAGGTCTGTCTCTTATGTAACTTTATAGTGTTGCGAGAGGCTTAAACTTTTAACTTCTTCGCACGGTTTTCAGCAACAAAACACCACTCCCATAAACAACTCCAAAAGCAATAACAATAACAATAACAACAACAACAAAAACAAAAACAAACAACAACAACAATAACAACACCACCCCGCCATGACTACCACCACGACAAAAACATTAAAACAGCAATAGCATCACCCCCATCATTACAACAGCAATAACAACAACAACAACAACAACAACAACAGCGAACGCAACAACAACAACAACAGCAACAACGACAACAACTTCTCCATCTCCGATCCCCAGATGCACATCGTCCACCACCAAGCAGGCATGGGAACCCTCCAGTCAGCAGCAGCTCGACCTCACGGCCTCGCCGTCATTGCTTTCTTTTTCAAGGTATGTCGTCGCTACAGTCTGTCGACATGAGCAATTATTATTATCAAACCCAGTTCACACACACACACACACACACACACACACACACATGTTCACAT